AAAGTGAGAGAACAGGAAAACAAAAATGGCTTAGTTCTGTTTCATTTCGCTTCGTAAATGTATTTCTAGTGTTTGTATAAGCCTTCTTGCGCCTTTTAAGGTGTATACCTCTGAGAATTGGAAACTTAGTATCTCTATTTTCTTCATGACTCGAGTTGTTTCATAGCCAACATTCTAGTTGCTTTCTCTCTGTGCTGAAATAAAGCTTAATATGTTCTGTGAAGGTTGATGATGCCAATTCCACCAGGACCTCATTAAAACAAACAAATCCAAGAGTTTACCCATCACTTAGAAGTTATACTTCCCATTAGAAAAGATACTGGAACAGGCCCAGGGAGTTGTGAATGCCCCATCCCTGGAAATGTTCAAGGACAGGCTGAAGGCGACTTTGAGCAACCTGGTCTAGAGGGAGGTGTCCCTCTCCATGGCGGGGGGGTGGAACTCGGTGATCTCTAAGTTCCCTTCCAACTCAAACCATTCTATCATTCTTTCTCAGTTCAGACTCTTCTGCTTATTCCTAGAGTTATAAAGGTATTTTTAATTTCTTAACTTCAATCTTACAGCATCTGGTTGATTTTTTTCTCTTTTTTTTTTTTTTTTTTTTTTTTTTTAATGTGATACAGCTCTTTGAAACATCTTTACTCAAAGGATTACATCTTTGGTTTTTAGCTTGTCAGCTTGTTAACAAATGCTATAATCATTCCAGAGCATTCTTTATGTCCTCCCTGAAGTCTGTAATAATAAATCTATTGCTCTGCCTCAGAGGACCTGGCAGCTTTTCTCCCTTGCCTTCTTCCTAGTCCTCCATCATTGATTTAGGCTTCCCTTTACATTGATTTAGGCTTCCTTTTACAAGGACCAGCCCCATGCATCTACAATATAAAACAGGTAGAGTGTCAAGAGCTCCAGATCCCTTTCAACACAAAGCACAGCAGACTTTTTAGTACATATTTATTTGCTTAAATTAATAGAATACATTATACATGCTTTTACTATGGAGATAGAAAGCCAGAAACTAAATATTCACATATAGTTGGCCCTTTTTTTTTTGAGATGGGGTTTTAAATAGAAACCCAGTATTCTATATGGAACAAATATACACCACATTATTTCCAAAATCTGTTAGGAGTACAAAATGTTAGCTCTGTTGCATCTTGTTCAGCTAAGCAGACATGACTGATTTTCAAGAACTGTTAATAATTATTAAAAACTTCTTAGAACAATAAATATAGCACTCATATTACTTCTTAACTGTACACTCATAATAGCAGAGTCCAGCAGCACCATATGAAGAGAGAAATTGGAGAATAGCCAGCAGACCAACACAGAGTTGTAAAAAGGTGGGTGCAGTAGCATAACTTGGCCTTTCCAGTAACTTGTTTTACAGGACACAGTATAGGATAAACTTCCCTATAAATGTTTGCATAAAGGGCTTTAGCATTTGAGCTGCTGAACACAGAGCACTTATCTTTTTTTGCCTTCACCAACTGGAGGGTACCCAGCAGCCAGGAGAGCTCTGGCTCACAAGATGACAGCTGAGTCCTAGTGGCCGGATTCAAAACAGCTTGTTCTAGAGTTACCTACAACCTCACCTTCGCAGAAGATATGCTGTATATCTTTACCCTCAAATTCTACTAACCAGATTTTTTACTTTTCATCCACCTGTTCTGTTCTGTACAGTGTCTTGTAGAATTCTCCCTACTGCCCTGAATAGCGGAGAAGTCTCTAATTTAAAAAAGCACATGCCTTCCCTTGTCCAGACTCATTATGGTGTGGCAAATTTACCTTTCCTCACCATGGCTTCTTTAAGCATCTCTGTTTCTATGACTCTGGAAAGCATCTCATTTGTGTGAGTTTGTGGACACTCTTACTTGCTTTGATGCTCTCCAAGAGCATGAAGTTAGGCTTCATATATTAATGTGAGGAAATGGCGTAGATGTGATTTAATATCAATGTGGTGGAGACTGAGTTTTAATTTGATGTGTTACCACTACATGAAAATCCAAACAGCAGAGAAGAGACAGATAGTTATTTTAATTTTAATTTTTTAAAAATTTTCTCTTCCCCACAACACAGCAAGAAGGTGGGTAGATTCAGATTAGGAAGGAGGAAAAAAAGAAAATGTGTCCCCCAAAGTGCAGGACACAGTCAATGTTTCTACAGGACTTCTGAGCTTCTGCTCAAAGCAAAACAAGGAAGCTAATCCCTCAAAAATTACTAGTGGGAAATAACTTCATTATGAGAGCAGATTTTTATAAAGCATTTTCAAAGCTATTAAAAAGCAAAGGCTGTTACTGTCTGTTCCCAAAACAGTGCCAATATAAATAGCATGAAAATAACTTATGTTTGAAAAGTGAGGTGCTTCACAATGAAGTCTGTTATTTCACTTTTAATTTGTCTCTTGGGGTCTTCATAACAAGTGTCTTAGACCCAGCTCCATTATTGTTCTGCAGAATGGAGGACTATCAACTCCTAATCTCTTTGCTTGGGTCACTTGGCTGTCTCCTTATCTCAATGATGGTTTTGTTTGTGATTCCTCTGGCTGGTGACTTACAGTTTTAAAGGAGTTCTTTACTATTCTAACCTCAATTAGGCTTGGGTGTTAGTGAATTGGCTTAGTGTGGGTATGTGACTGGGCACAGTCTCAAGGCCTCATTGTAATGCAATGTTCTCTGCTTTCTAGGAAGAAAGCAAGCAAAGGGAGTCAGTCACATTACCAATTATTCCCAAACAGTATTGTCATTCTGGGAAACCTCTATTCCTTTCTACCTGGCTGTATGTAGTTGGCAGTTGCTTTTGCTCTGATGAGAAGTAGGACTATAGAAGTAGGTAATTGGGCTTCAGTGACAGTGTGGTTGAAAGTTTTTCTGTTAACCATTCAGACAACTCAAGTCTGTAAGGGAGCTCTGGACTGCAGACTTCCAGTAGACATAATTTTGTGGTTACAATGTTATCTACTGACAGCTGAGCTCTGCTGAAAATGTCTCCTTTAATCCATTTGCCTGGAGTGCTGTTGATATATAATAATTTGTCTCTTTCTTGATGAGGATCCTCTATCTGTCCCATAACACTCTCCAATGCGTAGACAACAGGGCTTTGCAATGGAAGGACTGCGTGCCTGTCCGCTTTACCCACCACAGAAGTGAAGGCATTTGTTAAGTCCAACTCATCTGCATGATCACCATTCTAGAAATTGCAACCAGGTTCCTGATTCCCTGTATGTTGTGCTTATCACAGGAACTGATATGGCTGCAAAGGTGGAGTGAACTGATCTTGAATCATGCCCAGCTGGAAAACGCATCACCTTGAGAAAGACATTTCTAAAAGTCAGTGGCTCCCAGCTCTTGGCTGTATATGTTCTTAAATAGGATCTTTTATCTGGCAGAGATAAGATATCAACAAGAAGGTAACCAAAGGATTTGTTCCTATTTCTAAGAGACAATCTAGATAATTCTGAATTTCTACCTCATTTCCCCTCTAGTCTAAGAAAGAATGCATTTACTGATTTAACCAGTAGGTGTGAGAATCATTAGTTCTTTAAGGTGAGTGGTTTCTTTCAATGGCAGAGCGCTGCAGCTACTTGACTCTAGCCTTAGAAAGCCATAAGCATATGACCATATTTAATTATAACTTACTATATATAATCATGATAACAAGGTATTTCAAATCAAGATTTTGGCAGGTAAGTGAATAAAGTAATGATATTTGGAAAAGATGTAAAATGTATATGGAATTTAACCTTTTGAGCTGGGATGTTAGGATGATATAGAACTAACTGAATTACTTAATAAATCTTTATTTCCTTATTAGTAGAATGGTGTGGGGCTGTTTGTCATCTATATGCAGTAATCAAGGTGTTGGTGCTGGTGAAACGATTAATGCAATTAAAGGAATATGCTTAATGGAATGTGCTTTTCTTGTGAATATAAAATTGTATATTAATAGGAGGATCAAAACTTGACAGTGATTCAGTAAAAACAGCCTGAGTAGGATTCTTCAGAAAAGCCTGGAACTTACTGACCAGGTTAAAATAAGGTAAAGGTGATAAGGTAAAATTTCTGACTCAAATAAGAGGAAATGCAAAACTAGTTTTTCTCTGTGAGGTACAGCTTGCCCTGTAAGGACTCTTTTCTGGTACATCTTCTAAAACAAGCTTTTGATCAAACCTGTGTATTTCAAAATAATCCTTGCTAGCCCAGAGAAACTGAAGAGATACATGGCAAAATTGTATCTTTATCTCAACTAAACTACTTATATTGTTTTATGTGTAATTACAGAAAAACTTGCAAATGCTGCTCATTAGGTGCATTGGTCTGACCGGACAGTAGAATAAAAAAAAGTCAACACAGTTCATGCTATTTCTCTTGAAGAGTTACTGAGTACTCCCATACTGTCTGAACCATTGAAAAGTACAGACTTCTCTTGTGCTAGAGGAATAGCTGCTGTGATCATAATTATCCCCAGTTTTTGCAAAGCCTCACAGAGGCTTCACTATCTCACATATTAAATTTTCTCCTTAATTTCTTTCTCATTTCTCATTGTAAGTGTCAATGTGACTTCAGTAAATGAAAGTATTTGGACTGTCTTAGTTCCAAGAGTGACAGCACTTTCAGGCACGCTATGTTTAATAGTATCCTGTGAAATGCTTACTTATTTTCAGGGATTTTTTGGAGACATAAGGAGCATTCATATATATGTAGTCAGATAATAAATCAAAAACTAATGTATGTTGCTTTTTGATAACCTGAGAGTTGCTTATAAGTCTCCAACACCCCAAATAAAGGAAAATAAACTTCGGTACCCAGCCCATTGTCTGTTTATACATCAAATGGGTAACTATAAAAATGTTATTGTTCAGTATCTATTGCATTTCTTGCTGACCTTGGACTACTTTATTCTTTTAATATTTGTGTTTTACGTTAAATTATTTTTATTCATCTGGATTGCTTGTTTCTAAAGATTCTAAAAAATCCAGGCTTTGGCAAATTACAGTTCATGTTAAAAGCTATCTGGTTCCCATTTTCCAGCTGTTTTGAAATGTTCATTTTAAATGCCTAAAAGCATTGTTTGTTTTTCCACTTTTCTTTCCAGCAATTCTTTCAAACTCTTGTTCCTGTGCTTGAAATACAAGTAATCTGAGAGAGAGTGGCCAAGTCTGGCCTTTTCAAAGGATCTAAAGCTGAGGTGTTCTTTGTTGTTTGCAAGGTCTCTCTCTCCTTCACTCTCCTGTTCATCTGCATTTCCCATTTTCCTCTCCAGCCCTTCCTCACTTAGTGCTTCTTCCTTTTCATTGCAGTAAGACTCTCTGAAGCTCTTCATCATGCGCTCGGGTTTGCCAGACAGATCTTGAGCCACGCACAGCTTGTTGTCTTCATGGTGATACATGGCAGGGCTGTACTGCTCTGCCTCATAGCCATTGTCTTCCTCTTCTTCCTGGCATGAGCTTCCCTTGGCACTCTCGCCATCTGAATGAAATGAGATTCCCTTCCCTTGGTTTTTCTGGGAAAGATCAAAGGGTTCTTCCTGTTCCAAGCTTCTCAAGACATTTGTCTGTGACAGAGCCATTCTTCCTCTTCCAAAACCTTGTCACGGTTTGAGGGGAGGAAAAAAGGAACAATTTACATATAGGAAATTTTGCTACATGAAACATGGTTAAAAAAACAAAATGTGAGGTGGCCTTCTGTTCCATACTGTACCTTTGTCTTCCACTCAGCTATCTCCAAGTACTTTACTGTTTACATCTCATGGCAATTCCTTTGAGATGCTGTTAAGAGAAGTACTATTGTGTACACCTCACAGTCAGGACAGGACACACAAAACACAGACCTGTACATGCCAGACACTTGATGAGGGAGCTACGAATAAAAGTGAAGTGGCTTGGCCTCTTGTAAACTATTTTTGCCTGTGAACCTACTCACTTCCTCCTTCCTATTTTTTTAAAAATAAAAACTTTGATCTAAAACATCACAAGCTATAATGAAGATCCTGAGTTTTGTACTTCTTTTTTCCAGAGAAGTGGAAGAGATTAAAAAATGTTAATGTATTTGTTCTACGGATACTCTTATTCAGAGTTACTATTTGAAAAATTAAAAGATACTCAAGTCTCAGTAGTCTACAACTCACCTTTATTTTTCCTCTTTCATCCACTGAGAAGCCACTCATACCACTGAAAAACTCTTTGCCCTAGGGTGCCACTCTAAAGCACTTTGCTTCAGCTTGAACAAATCACTATAAACAAATTATGATTTTGAGTGGTACAGTGTAAGTCTGAGTATAGACCTGGATCTGGTTTATTAATATTTGTCAGTGTCTCCTCTCTTGCTGGAAATCTAGAGGTTACCCAGAACATTATCTGTGGACTCAAACATGCTGTGGCCTTCGGGTTGCACCAAAGGAGATTCAGACTTTGCAGGCATAGCACATCTTAACTAGAAGAATAGTGACAGTACTGGGTGAGAATCTCACCCAACAACAAATATTTACAAAACCATTATTTTACTTGCTTAGTTTTAGTTTGATTAGTTTTTTTCCCTCAGCAATTGAATCCCATTTCTGCAGGATCTCTGCAGCCTCACTAGATACAGCTGCTACTTTTCATTGGGTTGTATTTATTAAAATGATGCATGAGCAGGTGGTGGCCTTGACAAATTGCCTTGCATCTGATAAGTCTCCAGGGCTGAGGAATCTCTGTACACTGAAAAACTCTTAGGCTGTCTTCAAGTAATTTTGAAACTAGCACGGTGCTGTAGAAGACTTACAGGGGGAAAAAAAAAAAAAAAAAGAGGCCATTTGTTTCATTACCTGTGAGTATCTTTGTAACTTGTGACAAATGCCATTAGATTGTGTTTTACATACATGCCAGGCTGCCCGAAACTTGAATTTGAGGAACACCAAGAAATGTTACCCGTGAAAGAAGTATTCATCCAGAAAGACATATCAAACAAAATATTTTGGATAGGCAAACTCTCAAAACAATGCTCCCTACTTCTCCCACTTTTTAAGATAGCAATGGAGGCGTCTGTACAAGCATGGGTTTGACTTTCCAACTAAAAAAAAGGAACTAAACTATTTCCCTAACACCTGACAACAGCAACTTGGTGCACTAAAATGATTTCCTTTCTGCTCATATATACCCTCATTTTGTCTCCATCTGCTCCTACCTCTCAGTCTTTACCACTGTGTCATTAAGATGTCTAGACTGAAAAGTTTCTGACGTAAGGGTCACTACCTTGGGGTCTCTGATCTGTAGCACCTGAGTAACAGAGATATTTAATAACAACCTCCCAGGCTTATGGGATTCAATCTCTTCTAGTAGCATTGAATCTATGATGCAAGGTAATGGATTTGTGGTACAAAACCCATTTGGGTTTACTGATATTCATCTTCAAACCTCTCAGAGAATAACCTTGCTGAAAAATATTACCTTGAGAATGAAATCCTCTTTCCATGACTCCGTGTTTGACCTTCATGTGCCTGGTTAGGTTCCCCTTCAAGGTGAATTTGCTGGGACAGTAGAGGCACTTGAAAGGCTTACTGTCTGAGTGCAAGTGCATGTGTCCCATTAAATTGTGCATTCTGTTAAATTCCTTTCCACATAGCTGTGAAAACAGTAAAAAATATAAATAAACAAATAGTTCAAAGGGGTGTTTCCAAAGAGAACATTTTAAAACTAAACAGAATCTACTCTTGTCAACTTTAGCCCTGGCAGTTTCAGGCTACAAGTTGTTTTTAAAAGATACAGACAAAAATTCTACAGAAAAAAATTTTTGGTTGAGTCTGATCTAACTGGGGCCTTCTTCACTGCTGCTGTTTTATAATTTTGGTGACGAGGACACAGAGTCAAGGATTCCCCAAACACAGGGAATATTGTTGGAAGGAAGGGAGAAGCTTACGTATGTAATCTGGAAGGCTCTTAACTTGAATGAAATTTCTGCCTTGGTGAATCATTTTGTTTGTAGTTTATAAATTTAGCCTTTAATCAAGAACCAATCCAGGCAGAGATGGAGGTACAAAATAAAATCAATGAAGGATTTCTGTGAAAGTGATTAGCAGAATATTAGATCTCCTTAAAGAGAAACAAAATGACTGCACATTTTGCTTAAAGCTAGAAAAATAAATTCCTTGTTTCTGTTTCTTACTCCTCCATTTTAATCTGATCCTTTTATCTTCCATTTACCAAATTCTGTGTGTCAGTGCTTCTGGTGAGAAAGCTGGAATCTAAACAGTCATGGGGCTGCTAGAATGACTCAGCTTTCCCTGAAGCAGGTTCCTGACAGCTCACGACATTGATCATTCAAGTTTCCCTTTGATGAAACAATAACGTGTTTTTTTATTTTCATTGTTGTTCTTCATCTAAATGGGTCTTTTTGTAGTCTGGTCCCTTATAAATCAAATAGATTCTCAAGACATGAGATTTTGACATCTCTATTACAAACTTCTGGTCTTACTTGTCTTCTGGTCTTTCCTTATCAGGATTTATAATTTTATTCATGTTCAAGCCAAATATTTCCATTCCCTGCAAACTTCTGTGTTTGCTTTCTACTTGAGCTCCTTTTTTGAAATGGTTTTAGACAAATATATCTACCATCAGATGCTGCAAAAAAAGAAAGAATATTGAGAGTTTCATTTGCTTTTAAAAAAATATTTGTTTTGGCTCAGTAAGTTCTCTTCCATGATTTGCTGTCTGTGAACATTCTAGAAAACTCATTTATCAGGAAAATGTTCGCCAAACTGTGGGGGAAAGAAAAAGAATAGCCACTGTAACTGAGTTATTAATTTACAAAAGTAAAGTATCTGATTCCAGGGGTCATCCATCCATTTAGGAAAGAGAACCGGCATTACATTCAAAGTAACATGATATGCCAGATTACTAAAATTCAGGGAAAGTGCTGGGCAAAAACCAAAAGAGAAGAAGAAGCAGAGATAAGCACAGAAAATTTGCAAGGAAGAACAACAGCTGATTAAAGATTGACAGCCACTGAAATGAGCTATGACATGTCAATATTTCTGTGGCTGCAAGAATGCCAAGAATAATATCTCTCTAATATCTCTTAGCAGAAGGTTTTTGCTTATCTTGGTTATCTGCTTACATTGTGGTTGAATTGTATTCTCACCAGCTTCTGCTTTCTGATAACTAGCTTTTTTCTTACCTATCTAAACTGGTAATCAACCAATATCAAGGTTGAATAGTAGCATGGCCAGAGTAATTTCATTCAAATCTATACCTTTATAAGGTATCAAGTGATAAAATGGGTCTAGTAGGAACATTTATTTTGCTTCTGTTAAGGCAGCATTTATTTTTCTTTCTTCATAATGAAAAAATGGGAACTTCATATAAGGTAGTTTTTTTGCAGAATAGATTTGTGTCTCTGAATAAATGGGGTAGGTTTTCCATTTCCTAAACTCAAGCACAGTCTTAAAAGATGTTTAATGTGTTCTTGTCCTGAAATCTCCTCTGGGCACATGAGGAAATGGTACTAAAGCGGAGAGGTGGGGCAGGAAAATGGAAGAAATGCAGATATGAAAATTGTTTTTCAGGGTGGCGGGTCTGTGTATCATGGTAGCTTGTCCTTTTCAAAAGGCACAAGGCAACTTTGGGATCAGTGTCCATGATCCAGAGGGTGAGGAGAGCAGGTTTTCAGTTCACGTGCTGGAAGACAGCAACTCAGAACTATGTGGAGTTCACAGCTAGTACTTAAAGAACAGCCTGAGTCTGCAGACCTAACTAGGAAGGTGTAAAGGATTTTGCTTCTCAGTGACAGCATAGGGGAGTGAATACTGATGAGTAGAGTGTGAAAGATGACCCTGAGCTAGTTGTATGGGAGGGAACTCCAGCAGAACTCACCAGAGAGCACCTCTAGCACTCAGGGAGTTGCAAAGCTCATGTAAGAGATCTTGGGATAGTAGGAACAGATGGTAGGAACAACATGGTTCACTTGTGGACATTTTGTAAGGCTACTTCTGTCTACTTCTGAAGAGAAAGATCTCAGCTGCACATCTGCTGAACATACTTGGTTGGACTGACTGGACTTTGGTATAGTTAGCTAGAAAAGCTGCATTGGTTTAACATTAGGTTTTGTCTTCCAAAGCCACCACATGAAGTATCACCCTTCTAGATTTGTCAGTCTGTTTTGTTTGTTTATCTGTTCCCAAAGTATTTATCTCTCACATGTTCTTTGGTTTTAAATCCAGCTCTAAACCCATGGTTTTAGACAGGAAAAAAAGGGATTTCAAAACATTTGCTGCAAAGTGTATTTGTCTGAGCTGGAGAAAACTTAATTGCATTCCTTACTGGAGATCTGAAACATTGCTGATTTCACCATTAAAAGCAACTGTAAATTTCATAGAAGCTTCCTCCACAAATCAGAATTAGCACTATCGCACCAGTTGGTGCTAGTCCTTCAGAACTGTTCAGTGTTTTGATTTAAACAGAAATAAACAAGGCAGCACAAGCAGGTCTTTGAATGCCACAGAGAAGTTCACTCTTCAGAGAAAAATCAAGCACAGATACAGGCTGCAGCTGAATGAGGAAACAAAAGGGACAGCTGTTTGCTGCTCCCTCACTTCTGATAGTCTGTGCTTATCTGTGATTAGACACATAGGAAAGCCTCATGTTTTCTTTTGCTGTGAGAAAAAGGTAAGGAAAACCATTGCATGCAGTGAAGTAGAAAGGCTACTGCTGTGCTCTCTTTCCCTTTTTTTTTTTTTTTTTTTTTTTTTTTCCTTCACAAGAAGGGTGTTCCTTTCCTCAAAGAGAGAGGGAGAGGGAGAAAGACTGTAAACTGTCCAAAAGGACCGTGAGAAAACAGGAAGCTTTGAAAAGTACAAGAGAAAGCAAGATGAAATCTATTTGCAGGCGGTTCCCTGGGGACATGTGAGCCATTGTTAAGCAGGCTGTTCATACAGCTATATCCTTCCTTCTGCTGAGGAGGAGCTTGGTGCCAAAAGGCTGCTATCTGGTCATTACCTTAACCCTCTGAATACCAGCCAGGAACATTTGCCCCAGTCTTTCAAGGGCTCTGCCAGAGAGGCAAGGGATGCTTCTAATGCAATTCCCAACCCTCTCTTTCCTTATTGTTACAATTTCCACTCCTTCAAGGGCACTGACATCACTGACATTGATATGTATGAATTCCTTCAGTCATAAGAGAAGTTGGCTTGCTGTGCTTACTTTTTTCTCTCCTCCAAGGAACATTGGGTGGGGACAGAGAAGTAAAACAAAAACAAAACAAAAAAAAAAGGAGAAAAAAAAAAAAAGAAAAAAGAAAAACAGGTGTTCCTACAGAGGTTTTGTTACTGGCTGGAAAACATGCTGGTGGTACTCCAGTTGCCATCTCCAAGTTTTAATAGTCTTTCAACATCAAACCTGAACCTCAACACAAACTTCCAGCTGATCTGCATGTACCTAGGAAATAGTGTGGGTCCAGACAGTGCATCCAGAACAGGTGATCAAAAAGCTTACTTTCTTTTCTGAAGACTAAGGGATCAGAGGAGGGCTTTGTCCAAGGCAGAACAGAAAGACAGTGTAGTGAGCTGATGCCAGGGGGACTACCTTGGGGAAGAAGAAGAACTGTTCCTCACAGACAGGTTTGTAAGTGCTCACAGAGAATGCAAGTCTTCAGCAGACTTGACATGGAACTATTCAAGCATTTCAGTAAGTGAAATTATTTTATCAATACTGAATAACTCCTGGTATACACAATAACATTTTAATAGAACATAAAATTTAAAAAAAAGGTAAAGTTGAGAGACCTTTTTGTTATTTTTTCACAGTGAAATACTTCAAAGTTATCAAAGCAAAGTGAGGAAGTAAAAAAGAATAATATTGACATTCTCATGTTAAAATTATCGCTGAATGTTGTATTTTCCTATTACGTTTTGAAGTACTACATTTTTCAAGAGAAAATAGTTCCATTTAAAATTTGTCATCCAGCTCTGCTTCTTGATGAAACATCCTTTTTAAGAAAATACTTTGTTCCATAATTATATTGGATGAAAAAGTTCTAGAAATTGCTTCCAGATCAATCTTCAATTACCTAGGCATAAACTGGGTAATGTGCTCCACTCTGTATTTATAGCCCTCTTAGAGCTGATCAAAGTGGGAATAAAGCCTATGACCTTTGACTTCACATGGTATGACTACAGTAATGAACCAATAAGGCAGCAAATGGAACAGGTGTAGTGTCCAATATCAAGTAAGACTATAAACATGAATAATTCATAAGGAAGATATTCGAGATGCGCACAGTCAAGAAGCCAGAACCGCAAAGGTTTATGGAGAGGGAGGAGGGGCTGAGGAGAAGAAAGGACGTAAAAGAAATGTCAGCCTCCAATGTGCTGAGAGTGTGAGGGAGGCAGCAAACTGGAATTCACACAGGATCCTAAAAAGGCCAGATGGTCTCAGAGGCTGTTTCATTAGTGTACTGATGTTCTGCTCTGAGACTCAGTCTGGTAATTACACTTGGCCCTTTCAAATTCCTTCTGCACTTGTGTTTTGCTGTGGACTTCTTTGAGTCCTTCCCGGAACTGTCGCATAGCATCACTGTGTGAAGTCATGGCTGCTGCTTTTCTATGATCCCCTGTGGGCTGCACAACTTGATTTGTTTTTAGACAGTGTTTCAAGCTATTCAAGCACTTTGACTTCTGTCTGGATGGCTGTCCTAAGCAAATGAAATGGCAGGTATGTTTATTGTCCTCAAACATCTGTGGCATTTAAATGCTCATGAAGTAAAAAAAAAATAAAATAATAAAACCCAAAAAAACTGAGGATGAAAGTTATGGATATTGGAAGGGAAAAGAGTAAACAACAGACATGTACCTCCGTTATTTTATGCTATGTAAGCAGCATCTTGATAAAGAAAGAAAACTGGGCTAGCTTATGCTAATTTAAATGCAGCTGCTGTATGTTTTAGCAAGCTTTTTTTTTTTTTTTTCCTAATTCTACCATATCACAGGATGATAATATCACAGAAATATCCAGTGGGCTAATGCCCCTGCTACCAAAAGCACTGACCTTGCATTTAAAGGGTTTGACATCCGAGTGAACAATCATGTGGGCCTTGAGAGTCTGCTTTTGCACGAAGCTCTTGAAGCACAAATGGCATTGATAGGCTCTGATATTGGTGTGGATCAGGACATGTCGCTTCATGTTGGCCAGCAGAGTAAACTCCCGTCCACAAATTCCACATTTGTGCTCTTTCACACCCTGTAAGAAAAGAAGAAAAAAAAATAATCTGTAGACGGAAAATTTTCTTGATAACTTCATATTCCTTACACTTATATATTAATTATTCATCCTGCATTAGCAAAGCAGGTAGTAAATTATTTTACTTTGAACATAATTTACACAAGTAATAGATACTTATGTCTTTTTTTTTCTGGAAAATTCTTACAAGTGTATGAGAAGAAGAAACAGAAAAGCTTACAGAAATAATGAGTTTTGTTTTGTTTCCATCAGTAAGCTTACAAATCTATGAGACATAGTCAGAAGCAGAGCTGCTTTGTCCTCCTGCAGTGCTTATGTAAAGTATTGATTCAAATGTGTATACTTATTGACCAAGAATAAAAGCTAACCTGTTAAGACACTAAAGTAGTGCTTGCCTTAGATAACTGGACATAATTGGTTTCTAAAAAAGGCAGTTCTGAAGAAAGCTCTAAAAAATAAACCAAAGTAACCAAGAAGCAGTCAAGATATGTCACTAAATAAGGATATACTTGTAACATTCAAAGAAAAGAAAAAGCTGTTTGCTCTTAGTGAGACTTGCACTAACCCTAATGGAGTGATCTCTTTTTACCTGGTATTTACTAGCATTTCTAGCACCTTTTATGCCATCCAGTCCATTCATTCATTCATAATTGAATATTCTTGCTCACACCCATGTGATCTAACTGCCAGGTCCTCAAAAGGTCATTTAGATGCCATGAAAATTAGTGCATTTACCACTAAACACTTCAAGAGCTTGAGTATAACTTGCTGAAGGTAAGGAGGATTTACTAGTGAAGTAACTGAGAACAATTACTCCTCTTGCAGGCCACCTGTGAAGAAGACTTTTTGAAACAGTCTGACTTTCATACCAGCCAGTCATTTTCACACTTAATTGCAAAGCTGAAACTGTGAACACCATCACCAGCTTTCAGTATATGCCTGTCTGCTCTGAGGTTGCTGTTGGACAGCTAAGTACTGTTAATTATGCTCACAGCTGAGTCCACCTGCAGTTGAGGACAAACAAGCAGAAGCTCTCTAAAGGCTATGGGGCATTGCATTTCCTGAGACAAAAAACTACCAAGTCTTAAATCAGTAGAATTTTGCGTGGTAAATCCAAAGACCAGGGAATCTCCAAAAAGAGCAGAAATTATAGTCATGCAGTAGAGAAGAAAAAGCAAATGTGGAAGTAGAGGTTGTTGGTTTTTAAAAGAAGACATATCTGTGAGACTGAAAGGCTATAGCTTTCAGTATGTTGTAAGTTTTTCATGTAACCAATATATAAGTGCTAAAGGAAAAATATGCAAAGCTGGAATAATTTTTTTTTTTATAAATGTGTAGGGTTTTGAATTGTCTTAATATCATTTTTATAAAGGTGGATAAACCAATTTCAGACACTCTTGAACAGAACAACTACATTTTTCCTATTTTTGAAAGAGATCTCTCTGGATATTCTCCAAAGGCTGCTCTGAGCCTAAACTGACTTTGCTGTCATTGCTGTCAGCAGTGGCAAGATTGCTGGTTACTGCAAATTGGCTGGGATTATGGCACTTACTGTCCACTTGTATTGACTGGCACTCTGGATAATTTACAGACAAAGGGGAATTTTTCTTAGGTTGGGGTTTTTTTTCCCCTAAATGTCTCTTATAATGAGATTCTTCAAAGTGTAGTGAGTAATAATACACTTTCTTTTGCTGAATACATACAGTCTACTGCAAATACAGTCTACTTCCCAATTAAAGGAGGAAAGCAACAGAACTGGTTTTCAGTTGAAAAATTCTATTAAAATTGGAGGGAGCTGTTAACACAACTCTACAAAAGTATGTTACGTTACAGAAGGCCATTCTGAAGCTAAAACCCAGAAATTGAGAGAGGTGAATACAGTTTTGGGGAAGCAATACAGGTGATCTGATTGAAGCCCAGCTTATAACAAAGAGGGTTTTCTCTGTACTTTCTTGAGACTGACAGAGGCATCTAGCTTGTATTATTGCCAGCACTGCTGGGACTTTTGCCCTGCATAAAACTCTCCAAGCTGTCAAAGAACCAGAACAAGGCTCTATAGACTGTTTTACTTCTTTCCAAAGAGGTACATAACTGCATCTTTAGTAGACTGTAATCCACATACTCCCTTCTGGTACAAGGTGAGAGCACAACCCGTGCTGCCTTACCTTGTGAGTTAGGGAGTGTTGTTTGAGATGGTGGGGCTGCACAAACTCCATGCCACATTCAGTGCAGATGTATGGGCGGATGTCTTTGTGCTTCATCATGTGGTTTTGCAGCTGACTTGGGTACTGGAAGGTCTTGTCACATTCAGTGCAATTGTACTGTATAGGGCCACGGTGGGTTGTTAAGTGTCTCTTCAGCTGGGCCAGGGTTGGGAAGTCCAGACCACACTCCACACAAATGTTCTCTCGTCCACTCTCGTGCTTAGACTCATGTGCTTTCAGCTCGCTGGGGTAGGCAAAACCTCTGCCACAGATCCTGCAGTTGTAAGGTTTGATGTCACTGTGTTGCATCATGTGTCTCTTAAGGTGACTGGTTTGAGTGAAAGCCTTGTGGCACACCTGGCACTTGTGTGGCCGAGTGCCCTGGTGTGTCAACATATGTGTATGCAAGTGGCTCAGCTGCTTGAAAAGCTTGCCACATCGGGTGCAAGCATGCGGCTTAATGCCACTGTGCCCCAAGATATGGGTCACCAAATTGTACTTGGATGTATAGGACTTCTCACACATGGGACACTGCCAGCGCTTCTGTTCACCCCCCACGTCAACATAGTAACTGTCATCTATCTGAAGGTTCACATCTACCCTTTCCACTTTCTGTTTATTTTCACCACTTTCTCGTATTTCAGTCCTTCTGAAGGGTGGTTCTGGAGGTCTTTTTGTTTGAAAGGCGTTCCTGAAATGAAAGTTCGGTGGCACAATAAAAGGAAACATAAAGCCAGAGTGGACTTTAGGATAATAAGGGTAAGGAGCTTGCATGAATGCTGGGCTACTGGGCCATGTCATGTTAGGCTTCACTGGTTCTTGCTTAACAGGCTTGGTCCCAAAGCGCTCCAGAGTTCTGTAGAACTGAAAACCAAAGTTGCAGAGGTCAATCATCTGGGAACTGTACTTGGGCTGTGCTGGCTGTTGGAACACCAAGGGGAGACTAGAAGAGCCTATGTCATTGTTATCTTCAGGTCGGCCCAGTGGTGATGAGGAACCCTCAAGGGCTACAGAAGGAGGCATTTTTGTTGGCATGCTCTTGCGTTTCCGAGACCCTCCTTCCAAAGATCCCTGGAATGTTTCCATGTCTTCAAGAGGAGGAGGGCCATAGTGGAAGTGTGAGAGGTGGGGTCTGAATTCTTCACCAAATGGAGTTGCTCTGTGTGGCTTTGCCACGGAGCTCAGTGGCTGTCGGCAGCAGGAGAAGGCAGAGGCTCGCGTACTATCCCCATTAAAACTTTTTTCTTCATTCTTCATCATATTCACTTTTTTTTTCTATGTTGCCCAAATTCCTTAAAACAAACAAAAACCAAATATCTTTAATTCTCCCTGTTCTTCTGGGTTTAACGTTTTATTGTCTAGTTTGTTGTTCTAGAGGTTTTTGAGTTTTTTAACTAAATGCAACTAAAGATGTCTTAGGCACATGTAAGAGAAAGGCCTTTTAAAGCAGAATTAAATTGGTTAATGAAGAACAAAGAAGCTTTGATCTTCCTGTGGAAGAACTCGTGGTTTGAATCAAGTTTAACCCATACAAGATCTTTTCAACATAAACATGCTCTATGACATACAGACTACATTGCAGCTGAATCTGTACAGTAATGTTTCTGCTTAATTTAGTTCAGCCAGGCTACACGTGGGCAAAATCCTGTCCTTGGCTTGTGCATGCACAGGCTCTAGGAATTGGCGGTTCATCTAAAGGATATGGCAATACAAACAATAATGTGCACATTTATTATGGTTGTGACATGAAAAGTTGAAGCCAAAAAATGTTAAACTTCTTTGTATCATTAACGTGTGCTGCTGTGAGAGAAAACAATGGCCAAGTGATCTAAGGACACTGTGTACCATCAGATTTTGTGCTGTGCTTCCTGACTTCTCTCACTTTGTATTGTAATAAGAAGGTGGAGAGTAATTAATTTTCTTTGTTTTAATCCCAGAGATATTTACCTGGAAGATTTGGGGGAGGAAAGACCTTTGACTACTCTCCAAATTACATTAAGTTTTATAGACTTAATCTAAGGCTTTATTCTTTCTAAGTAGGTGAGCAAAACCTCCCCTACAAAACTAAGTATAGAAAAAATGTCAACAGACCCCCTCAGGTCTCCAGAGTAATAGACACTAGAGAATACTCAGTGTGACAAGGCAGATTAATAATTTTCTTAGGGAATAATTTTGTGTTCCCCAGGGACCTTCACCTAAATTTGGAGTTCATCTAAAATACTGGTTATCAACTTGGATTCATCTTATATATGGCTTCTACCTTTTCCCTTGTCTCTCTTGAATGATAGAATCAGTTTGGAAAAGACCTTGAAGATCATCAAGTTTAACTGTAAACCTAACACTGCAAAATCCACCACTAAAATATGTCGATAAGCACCACCTTGTAACCTCTTTTAAATACCTCTATGGATGGTGACTCTACCACTTCCCTAGGCAGCCCATTCCAATGTTTGATAACCGTTTTGGTCAACTAATTTTTTCCTAACATCCAACCTAAATCTGCTCTGGCACAACTTAAGACTGCTTCCTCTTGTCCTATCACTTGTTGCTCAGGAGACGAGACTGACACCAACCTCACTACAGCCTCCTTTCAGGTAGTTGTAGAGACCTATAAGGTCTTCCCTCAATCTCCTTTTCTTGAGCTTAAACAATGCAGTTCCCTTGGACACTCCTCATAAGTCTTGTTCTCCAGACCCTTCATCAGCTTGGTTGCCCTTCTTTGGACATTATTTCTGATATAAGCCAGGATGCTGTTGTCCTTCTTGGCCACCTGGGCACACTGCTGGCTCCAGTTCAGCTGCTGTCAACCAGCACCCCCAGGTTCTTTTCCCCTGGGCAGCTCTCCAGCCACTCCAGCCTGTAGCGTTGCCTGGGGTTGTTGCAGCCCAAGTGCAAGACCCAGCTCCTGGCCTTGTTGAAGCTCATACAATTCACTGGCCTCAGCCCATTGATCCAACCTGTCCAGGTCCCTCCACAGAGCCTTCCTAGTCTCAAGCAGATCAACACTTCCACTCAACTTGGTGTCAGCTGAAAAGTTACTGAGAGTGCACACGATCCCCTCATCCAGATCATTGATAACAATATTAAACAGAACTGATTGGCTGCTGTGTTGGCCATTGTATTTCTTTCAATTCACCACAACTTTATGGGCCTGGATATCCAGCCAGTTTTTTAACTAGCAAAGAGTACAGCAATCTAAGCTATGAGCAGCCAGTTTCTCCAAGAGAATGTTGTGGGAAATGGGGTAAGAGACTTGAGTGAAGTCTAGGTAGACAACATCCACAGACTTTCCCTCCTCCACTGAGTAGGTAATCTTGTCATAGAAGGAGATCAAGTTAATCAAGTAGGACTTGCATTTCATTAGCCCATGCTTACTGGGCCTGATCATCTTGTTGCCCTCTATGTACCATGTGACAGCACTCAAGATGATCTGCTCCATAACCTTCCCTTTCACCAGGGTCACACTGATAGGCCTTGTAGTTCTCCAGGTCCTCCTTTCAGCACCTCTTGTAGATCACACAAATTAATATCCAGTCAAGTAGAACCTCCCTGGTTAGCCCAGACTGCTCATAAATGATGGCAAGTGTCTTGATGAGCACTTCTGCCAGCTTCCTCAGTACCCCTTGGGTAGATCCCATCCAGCCCCATAGACCTGTGTGTGTCTAAGTGGTGTAGCACATCACTGACCTCTTCCCCTTGGATTATGGGGGGCTTCATTCTGCTCTCTGTCTTTTAGTTCATGGTGCTGGGCACCCAGAGAATAACTGGTCCTGCTGCTAAAGACTGAGGCCAAGGCATTAAGACATTAAGTACTTCAGCCTTTTCCTCATCCTTTGGCATTGTCTTTCCTTTTGCATCCAATAAAGGATGGAGATTCTCCTTAGCCCTCCTTTTGTTGCTAATGCATTTATTGTCTTTTACTGAGTAGTCTGATTAAGTTATAGCTGGGCTTTGGCAGTTCTGATTTTCTCCCTGCATGACCTCACAATACCCTTGCAGTCCTCCAAAGGGATGCACTTCTGTAAGTGTGCATGTTTCTGTACATGCAACTATCCAACCAGGCAGAGGTTAGGTTGGAAAACTAAATATATTTTCCCCTGTCACCTGTGACATGTTGATGCTATTTATAACACCATTTTTTAGAAATTCTGGGTGGAGAGCATGAAGGTTGTTGGAGTACTAAAGACATTCCTGTCTTTTTCAGGAAGCTCTGTGCTGGATAAGCCTGCTTCTGAAGATAGCTAAAAGCACACCTCTGTGACCTAGTAACCTGTGGACAGGAGAAAGCATCTTAAAAACCTGCTTGCAAACATGTTACTTCCTTCTAACATGACAGACTGTGGAATTATCTTTGAGATACTGTGTGAAGCCAAAGGTTCAGTGACAAAACTGAGGAAAAAATGAGGGGAAATTCAGATAAAGAGATCAATCAATGTGCAAAGAAGGGTTAATAATTGAAGCACAAATTCAAAGAACTCTAAACTGATGAGTCTAAAAACACCTCTGGTAGTGGAAAAGGCTAAAAAAAACCTGCTTACAACTGGGACAAGTACCTAACAATTCTGTCAGGATCTGACTTTCAGTCCTTAGCTCACTGAGTATGCATTCTGCTGTGTATCCTTGTCACCCTAACTCCCTAGGCAAAATACGGAAAAGTTAGATCTTGAAGATTTTCTGGACAAAAAGGCTTGAGTTATTAAAAGGGGAGAAAGGGAAGGGAATCCTCTGAATATTGAAAAAAACTCCACTTCTTTCCAAAAAAGAAAAGGCTTGCTTTTTTAAAAATTAATTGGAACACAAATATGCTTGTAGACCAAAATCTTCCCTTTAAAGTACAGGCCTGTCTCTCAAATACCTTTTATTTTGTGTATCTGATTCTTTCCTAGCAATATGGCCATAAAGTGCTTCAGAAAGCTCTTAGCACTTGAGAACTCATCTATGTTATTTACTGTTTTTGTTAGATTATTGAAATGCTGCCAAATACACACAGAAGTGACAGCAAGTTTTCTCTAATCGCTTTCTTGTGTCCTGGCTGCCAGTTACTCCCTTTTTCCACAGTCTGTTTCATGCAAAAATTCAGTCTTTCTGGAACACAGAGTTGCGGCAGAGGCTGTGCCTGCTTGAAATTACTAGAAAGAAACAATTTCCTTGCAATACTAACCTTTGACTGCTTTCACTGAGTGAATGGGTTTATTCCACTCTCCACGACTACACACATCATGGGATGAAGCCTACAAGGGAAAGCATTCAAACAGTCAGTGACCAGCACAAACAGAGAGGCACTATATAATCCAATGAAAGAGCACTTAAAAGGGAGGGGAAGTACAGATTTGCAGTATAAATAGGGATCACCTTGCTGGTTCTTTTCCCTCCAATCTGCCAAGCACCATAATGAAGAAATTGTGTAAAGATCAAATGTAGCCTCTCCCACCTGCAGTAGTGTGTCCATTTCTGGAGCCCCAAACATAAGAAAGACATGGACCTGTTGGACTGAGTCCAGAGGAAGGCCACAAAGATGATCATAGAGCTGGAGCACCTCTCCTATGAAGACAGGCTGAGAGAACTAGAGTTGTTCAGTCTGAAGAAGCTCTGCGGAGATCTCATAGTGGCCTTCCAGTACCTGAACGGGGCATACAGGAAAGCTGGGGAGGGACTTTTAAAAAGTGCTTGTAGCAAGAGAACAAGAGATAATGGATTAAAACTGGAAGAGCTAAGATTTAGGTTAGACACTAGGAAGAAATTCCCTAGTGTGAGGGTGGTGAGACACTGCCATATGTTGCCCAGAGAAGTTGTGGATGTCTCATCTCTGGAGGTGTTTAAGGCCAGGTTGGATGGGGACTCTGAGCAACCTGGTTTCGGGGGAGGTGTCCTTGCCAATGCAGAGGGGTTGTATTTAGATGATCCTTAATGTCCCTTCCAACATAAACCATTCTGTGATTCTATGATCTTCTTTCATGTGGGTAGAAACCCTTACTCATTTGAATGGAGGCATGAACCTCACCTTTACCAGAATTTGATTCCATAAAAGTGTGAGGCCCAAGGAAACAGTAAGAAACTTCTTATTTGGCCACCATGCAAGAACTAGTTAAGTAGCAATCTTTTCTTTTAAAAAAATAATTAAGTAGAGAACTTTATAGCTTTTAATAGCACAATTCCCCAATAATTTCATTCTGACTCCGGATTAGATGATCTCATTTTAAGACTCAAAAATAAAAAGGGGGAGGTAGATTGAAAAGAAAATCTCCTAGGGATGCCTTTTTGTTTCCTGTATAATCACTTCAAGATTTATTTC